ACTACACATGTGCGGCGGCCTCAAGCATTTGCAGGCCAAATGCTTGACAAATAAGTTGGTAATTACAATTTGGGATAGTTGAACATCTTTTGACAAATGCAATACAATTAAGGAACATATTTGGACTACAACTTTCTGTGGTCTCAACATTTTGCAGCCCAATCTTTTGTCAGACAAATTGGTGACTACATGTCTTTATGTGTTAAAGTATTTCGACGAAATAATTATCATGGATGGCACCCTTTTCTCAAGGGGTGTTGGGCCAAGAGTGACACCCTCTTCCCAAGGAGTCGCGGTTACAGTTGCCGTAGGTGACACCCTCTTTTCGAGGGGTTGACACCCTCTTTTCGAGGGGTTGACACCCTCTTTTCGAGGGGTTTTGATTTCAATTAAGATGGCTCAACATGATTTTCCCTAGAACTCGCAACCACACAGGGAAAACTAGTTAGCGTTCCATTTTTGGGTTCGCTCTCAATTCCACGTGCTTCCCAGCAATTCATGTTTGATCAATTTTGATCCAACGCATCGTTGATCAAATTTTGCAAAAAACAATTTGACCCATATCATGTTTTAAGTGGGACGCCTGCAAAAAATATGTTCATACTATCTGGCATAATTCCATCACCATCCACCCTGGCCAAGGGACCAATTGAAAGCCAGCAGCCCTTTTTTTCTGGTTCATCATGTCTTCGTAAATTTCCACGCCACCAAACCCAAAGAAGGCAAACGCGATGAAGATAACAAAGTTCCCATGAGAAAAGGGAAAGCAAAGGTGATGAACAGTGTTTTGAACATAACTGCGACATGTTGGCCAGGTGACGCCTGCAAAGGCACAAAGAAAATCAACATCAAGCGAAGGAACAAAAACAGGAGAGACACCGCAAGCAATCTCAGGGCAATGCTGGGGAAATGGGAGGGTCCCAGGGCTTGGTCCAAGTACCAAACATCAACCAAAGACAAAAGTAAAAGAAAGGGAACAGTTTGTACACCCGTGAAGCCGGCGAAGCCGGTTGGCAGACGTTTCAAAACTATAAGAACGATAGTTTGCAGCAGGCTTGTTTTCCCCTTCTCTGTTTCTCTCTCTCTCTCTCTATTTATCTTTATCTTTCTCTCGTTTTCTCTTTATCTTCGTCTTTGTATCTCTCTTTCTCTTTGTCTTGGTATTTCTCTCGTTCTCTGTGTCTTCCGTTCTTTCTTTCTTTATTGTATTTATTCATGTCTTTATTCAAACATTTCTTGTTTATTCATTCATTTCTTTACTCATTGAATGCGTCCTTCTTTCTTTATTGATTTATTTATTCCTTGCTATGTCTTTCTTTCTGTAAATGATAATATATTTATCTTTCCCTTTCTTTATTTTTCTTTCTTTCTTTATTTCTGTCTGTCTGTCTGTCTGTTTGTCTGTCTGTCGTTCGCCATTTGCTTTCGTTATGTCATTAGTTCTTTATTTGTTTCTTTCTTTACTTCTGTCTTTCTTTCTTTCTGTCTGTCTGTCTGTTTGTCTGTCTGTCGTTCTCCTTGTTCCTTCGTTATGTCATTAGTTCTTTATTTCTTTCATTTACTTCTTTCTGTCTGTCTTTCTGTCTTTCTTTCTTTCATTTTTCTTTCTTTCCTTCTTTCTTTATTTCCTTCTTTCTGTCTTTCTTTCTTTCTGTCTTTGTTGCTTTGCTTTCTTTCTTTATGTCTGTCTTTTTTTCTTTCCGTCTTTATGTCTTTCTTTCTGTCTTTCTTTCTTTTCTTTTATTTTCTTTCTTTCTCTCTTTCTCTCTTTGTCTCCTTCTCTTTTTCTCTTTTTTCTCTGTCTTTTGTTCTTTATCTTTCTTTTTCTCGCTACCTTTCTTTTTGTCTTGCTCGTGTTCTTTCTCTTCCTCTTCCGCTGTTCTTCTGTATTATTCTCTTCGTTCTCTTTCTCTTTCTCTTTCTCTCTCCTTTTAGGAACACAAGGAGGAGCTCTGCGCTCCTTTCCTTTTCATCTCCTTCGCACTTCACGGCTGCGGCCTAAGTGGACAGCAAACCGACGCAACAAGCCGTGATTCCGGCTGTCAGAAGTCAAAACTTTCTGCCGCGTCTAGCGCATAAACTTGTCCACCCTGTGGCACCTAATGTGAGAAAGGATTAGGAAAATATATGGAGGTAAGATGGATACTCTACTGACGTTAGGATGCACAACTTCTTGAGAGCCTGAAAGAGAAAGAGAAAGCGAGACCGCCTAAAATAGCCCAACCTCTTTTTCCTGGCGGGCTCGTGGCAAAAGCAAACAAAAAAGAAGAGGAGGCAGCTCCGTAAGTTCCACTTTTGCAGCAGGATTGACCGGGCGCAGGACTGCGCAGCTCGCTCGCGATAGACAAAGTGCGCCTGCATCACCGCAGCTCCTTTCATGGTCCATGTGCTCACAAACTCAGCCTTCTTTTCAAAACGAATCAGTTACAGGATGCTCACAGCCAATTGGTCAAGAGCACGCACGTGCTAATGTAAAATAATACTGATGTTGCTCATTCCAAAATTGTCAAATTTAACTCATCACGCATTCCCTTCGCAGGCCCAAGGAAGCTTAAGCTCCTGTTTTTTGTTTGCAGTTTGACCCGCCGAATCAGTGTCAACCCAACAAGGGCTCATCGAAGCCCTGTCACGTGACGAGGATTCGTCGAATCAGTGTCAACTTGGATCCTTGCCATCTTGGCGTGGATTCGACGAATCCGTGCTGAAACCGGCGCTTATTCGAAGGTTTCAGCGCTTGCTCGAGTGGATCAGCGCTGATCCGACACAAAAACCCTACTTTTCCTTGTCAAACCAGCGCTGATTCGCGAATCAGTGCTGAAACCAGCGCTTAAAGAAGGACTGGGATGATGCTGGACCTGCTCCGATGGAGGTTGATACAGCAGCAGCTCAGCCGAAGAAGTCTTGGGCCGAGATGGTGGTTGAAGGGGCCAGGCCGAGTGCTAAGGCTAAAATGACCCCGGTTCCTAAGGCCGAGCCGAGAGGGAAGGCTGCTTCAGCATCTGAGGCGAAGAGTGCTCCGGCTCCAAAAGCTGTGGCTAAGGAGACGAAGCAGGCCGAACCGAAGGTTGAGGTCAAGAAGGAGAAGACAGGCGGAGGTGACGCTCCCGGCGGTAGCCGCGGGTCGGCCGAAGGGCAGAAGAGAGAAAGGAAATCCCGTTGGGATCCCGACGAGGCTGCGAAGGAGTCGACGAAGCGGGAGGCGTCCACGAGGCCTGGCGACGTCGACAGCAGACAGGTGCGGCAGCGAGAGAAGCTAGCGGGGATGATCTTCACTCCGCGCTTGGCAGATCTTCGGCAAAGGATGCGGTAGCGCCTTTGACGGCCTCCAAGGCGATGGCAAAGAAGCCTGAAGGCGGGGAGATCCGGCTGCAGTCTGCTGAGCGGGCCGCGGCGAGCCCGGTGGAGGGTCACTTTCTGGTGCTGCCTGAGAGTTCGGTGGTGGACGCTTTCTTGTCGATCTCCACCAACAGAGTGCTGAACAAGCAGGTCAGGGATTTCATCAGGAATGGTGAGGACGCGTCGGCACTGGAGGCTCTCAACCAGATCGTGACGAACTCTCGATCTGGGAGGAGGCGTAGGGAATCGGATGTTTCCCGTACTCCTTCTCGGAGGTCCGTTAGGACCGTGGACACCAGGGATTCCAGGGAGTCGAGGAGGCGCAGATACCGTCCACGGCGCGAGGATGATCGCGACCGGAGGAGGGACGATGCTCGTGATCGTCGTGATGATGAATCACTCGATCGGGAGCGAGATCGAAGGCGAGATGATCGCAGGAGATCCGAAAGGGATCGTGATAGGGACCGTGCGCGGGGCGGACGTGACCGGAGGAGACGTGACGATAGCCGGTAGGCTGAGTCACGAGGATTGCGGCCGATAGGCTTGCGTCCATTCTCCAATGGTCGGCGCGGTGCGGAGGTGTTGATGTTCCTCCCGAACCGCTGAGGCGCGGAGATCATGTCCCTCCCATACCGCTGCTGGGCTGCTGGACGTGTTCATCAGGAAGCAGTGTGAATGAGAGGGAAAGCAAACTGATGGGGGGTTACTCCCGGGTTTGCGGAATTCAAGCTTTTTCCAGGTACGCATGGTCAAGGGTACCTCTTGCCGTTAGGCGAGGGTACTAATGGACATACGTTATCTTTTATTTCATGGCTTCTGATAAGAATTAAACTTCTTGCATTGTTGATGCAAACAGTTGTGACCTAATGTCGTCATGTGGACTTTTCCACAAGGTTTGTTGGACAGCGTTACCCCGATTAATTCGGGGTGGTGGCGGGAATTTAATGCCCGGGATGTCGCGCAACTGCCTTTGTGGGTTTGCTCCACCGCTGACGGCGGTAGTGTCCAGCTGTTTGCGGACGCATGCGAGCAGTTAAATCCTATCAGTAAATGGCACGCTCCACCCGTCATATGACGGGCTCCTCGTGAGGGGGGTGTGATTAGCCATGGTTCATATCATCATCAGGGACATATCATCATCAGGGACGTCGCGTTAGTGACCGACCTGTGGTGTTTTGGCTCAAGTTTTGGATCCGGCGCGCCTCGGATGAGCGTCGCCGGGCCCTCACGTCGACCGCCTTCGTGTCGGAGGAGAAAGAGACTTCGGCCCGGGGTAGGTTGGTGGGGATCGCCCGTGCGGTTCATCGTCGATCTAGGTTGCGGGTATCCTTTTCTGGTTTGGTTTGTTTTCCTTTGGTTGTTGTTCTCTGGTGTGTGGGAAACCCTGATCTTTGGGACCGGGGATTGGTTTGCTTTTGGGGAACCTTTCTTTTGTGGCTTGTTTACCCCAACTTACCCATTGCCTGGGCACAGGCTCGTGCCCGAATCACAGATTGATATGTAGGGGTTGGCAACCATATCTAGGGCGGTGGTTTTTGCTTTTAGGGGTTGTTATTTTCCTTCGTTTTGGATGTCCCTTTATTGTCAAAAAAGGGTTCAACAACACGGGATGCCAACACCTTTCCCAACTCGAGGTCCGGGAGACGTAGAGTTTTCGCAATGAG